TACTTTAAGCACCATTAAATTATTCCTCTCATGGAATTTTCTTTATTGGACTTTTAACACAGGATGACAAGAAGTGAAAATGTATGAAAAGTCTGTAAGAATATATATACATTTGGTTATTTTTTATTGCATTTTCAGATGAGTGATGTAAAGTTGGAACTAATGAGGTAATTGAGCCTCTTGAAGGTATTTGTAAAAGAATTACATGTTGAATACATTGATTAGTTTTAGCTCTTTTAAATGTAAATAATGTTAGTGAAGACCCTAAAATCCCTGGCAGATAGTTGACAGCTAAATTTGAATATCACTATTCCCAGTCCACTCAGGTGCAGAGAATAAACCGAGCTGGACCTCCAGCCTGTTGTACGCGCACTGCTGCTGTGGCAGCTCTTTGTTCAGAGACAAAGTAGTCCAAAGCAAAGCAGGTACCTCCTTGGTCAAACTAGAAAGCAGTGCTCCGAGTTGTTCCGCATTGTGCTCCTAGAAGCTGCTATGGTCGCATTCACAGAGTTGACGTTTACAGAGATAAGTTGTTGCAGTTAAGTGCAGAGCTTAGAGCCCAGGTCTTCAGTGACCATTCTCTGCTGAACTGCTCGTTATGGTAATCTATACCCACTCCTTTACCAAAACTGTGTTTAGTGCTTTTTGAGGTTTTAAGTGGAGAGAAAGCAAGCACAGGTGTGCACATATTACACAAAGGTGATTATAAGTCAAGCAATCAGATCTCCAGAGATCTCCTTTATAACCTTTAAATTACTAGATGGCCATGTAAATGTTTTTCATTTGTATCAGTTTACAAGCAGGACTTGTCAGGCCTACTCTTGACAGTGTGGGCTGGGCCTGTGTAGATTGTCCCCTGAGTCAGTCTGTGAACTTACCCCAAAGCTGAAGCCAGTGCTGTTGGGTGGGAGTCACTTTTGGGGTCAACATAATCTACTTGTTAACCCACATGCATCATCAGATTATGACATGAGCCCTGACAGAGAGCTCAGTGACTTTGTTTTCCTTTTTCCCTGTTTGATTTTTATGACATTTGACATTTCTTTTTAGATACATATATTCTGTATTTTAGAGATTGTTACACAATAATTTCCTAGTTTGATAGGTAAATGAAAATAGTCACCCCTATGTGATAGAAATGAGATTGGTGGTGGTGGGGAGGTGGCTCAGCAGTAAAATGTACAGGCTGCTCTTGCAGAGGATCTGGGTTTGATTCCTAGCACCCACATGGCGGCTAACAGCAGTCTTAAACTCTAGTTCCAGGGATCTGACACCATCTTCTGACCTCTGACCTCTGTGGGCACTGCACAACGCAGGTGGACTTAGATGCATGCAGGCAATACACTCATACACATACAATAAAAATAAAAATGAAAGAAATGAGATTTGGTTGTTTTGCTAGTTATAGTTTGATAAACATGTTTTATAACACTGGAAGAAGTTAATAGCTCATTTAAATTTGGTCTTTTTTTTTTTTTTTCCTTCTAGTTGGTTAGAGAAGCACAGTGTCTGCTTTTCTTCCATTGAGTTAATTCTTCAGTTGTGATTTAGTTCATCTTCATGTATGAAAGCATCAAAACTGCATTCTAATTCTGTCCAAAACTTAATAATATGTTACTTTCTGAGAAGGAAATTGTGCTTTTAAGGGGAATCCAGTTGTTTCAAAATACTTTTGTGTTTGAAGATGGCCTGAATCAGCCCATCATTGCTGGAGGACCATTCCTTTATATTTTCCAAATATTACTGTTGTTGTAGAAATAATCTTAAAAAAAAAAAAGTCCTAGCAGAGAAGCAGCCAGCTGACCTGTCAGTTGTGAAGGAAGGCATACATGAGTATGAAAATATATTTTAAGGCTCATGTTAAATGAAGAAAGGGTTTTCTATGTATACTCTTCCTGAAAATAAAGGAACTATAAAGGAACTCTGGACAGTTCATTATGCTTTTGTTGAAGAAATGTTCACTTCTTTAAGAGAAAAATTTATATAAAATTTATTCTATTTAGGACCATCTTTTTTAAGGAATGTGAAATGTTTCCTGAAAACTACAATTCAAGGCTTTGATAATCTCTGGATGATTAGAGAATGAAATGTAACTTCATTGTACTGCGGTGTTTTATCTTCCTACAAACTTAATTGACGTATTTCAGTTATTATTTTCCCTTTTCCATTCTTTAAGAAGTGTTGGCCACTGGATATATTTTGTTTAAATTGGAAAACTGAAAACATACCCATAGACTAGTAAGGAGTCCAGTGAGGGGATAGTCAGCAGTGGCTTTTGAAGGACATAGAGAAAATTAGGTGGAAAGAGTTTTTTTTTATTTTTGAGGTAGTGTCTTACCTGTAGCCCAGGCTGGCCTGGAACATGCAATTGTCCTTTTGCCTCAGCCTCCAGAGTGCAGGAATTATGGGTTGTCACCATGCCCAGCTTTGAACACAGCTTTGAGCTCATAATTTCCCGTGGGGTAGATCTAAGGAAGTTAGGGATCAAGCCTTGTATGGTAATTTCAACCAAGTGAGCACTCCACAGAAAGCAGAATATTGCTTAGAGCAGGCCCTGCATAAGTCAGAGTTGACAAAGAGAAGTGGTGTTACTTAATCCAGCACTGCTTTCTAGTTTGACCAAGGAGGTACCTGCTTTGCTTTGGACTATTTTGTCTCTGAACAAAGAGCTGCCACAGCAGCAGTCGTCACACACCAGTCCCTCTAAACAAAGACTCTGAGTGTTTTCTCCTTGGAAATCACATGTTCAACTGTTGCCACTGAGAAGAGTTTTATCTGAAGGCCTTCTGACCTTGGAGCCAGCCTGACTTAACCTTTGTAGGTGAACAAGTCACAAGGGTACAGCTGGACCTTGGGCATCAGGCTGCACTGAAGGCAGGATTTCATGACTGAACCCTTCCCTTTGTAATTGAGGACTGCCCTTATATTGAAACAGTAAAAGGTATCCTAAATAAATAGGGTTATCAGTTGTAGACCTTGCTCAAAATTTACAGGGTTCTTTCTAAATAGTTTTGAATAGTTTGAATAATTTTTTTTTTAACTTCCAAGTTTTGGAGGTGGAGGGAAGTAGTAATAAAATATGACCAAATTCAGGACTTGGCAGCTATGAAAGTAATGGAACAAATTCACCTAAAAATGATTATTTTTATTTTAAGTATATGAGGGTATTGTCTGCGTATGTGTAAGTGCACCTAAGTTGTGAAATGCCTGCAGAGGTCAGAAGAAGGTGGCTGATCCCCTGCAACTGGAGTTATGGACAGCTGTTAGCCACCATGTGGGTGCTGGAAATCAAACCTGGGTCTGTGGCTGGGAATCAAATCAGGTCCTTTGCAAGACCAGTCAGTGCTCTTAACCTCTGAGCCATCACTCCAGTCCAACAAATTCACTTTTTAAATATGTTTATTTGCCTTTGGCAATATTCTAGCCATTGCCATTGACTTGGGAGGCAGGATTTTAATGTGGAGGTTTTGGGGGTTTCTTTCTTTTTTTTTTTTTTTTTTTTTAATAATTGTTTTTGTTTTCTGTTTAAAAGAGGACCGATGAGGTTGACATTTTATCCAGCAAGCTTTAGAAATTAGACCTGATCTAATTTGGTAGGGCTTTAGTCTTTAGGAAACATGTCTAGTTTCTGTCCTTGCTCTTAAGAGTGTGTTCTAAGTTTTTAGTATTATAGTGTTATTGCAAACAATTTTGGAAAACAGTGGCCTAATATTATTTATGACTCCTAACTTTATTATTGATTTTGAAAAGAAAATGCCTAGATTTGTCAGAAGCCAACAGTTTTTTCAAAATTAAAAACATTAATTCTAAGGTTGCCTCAGTAAAAAGAAGAAAATAATGTTCACTTGAAAATAAGGTTCTTACGGATCTGTCACCTACTTTTATAATTACCTGATGATTTAGTTTCTCTTTTAACTAAGAGGAAGCCATCAGATTTATAAATTTCATTTTAGTTACATTTAAGTGTATGTTTTTACAGAGTGATCATCCTAATCCAGGACTGAAAATATATCAGATTTATTGAAGATGATTTCACAATTAACAAATGTTTGTCTTGTTCAGGTTTGGAAGACAGAATAATCAAATTATTCATTCTTCCAGAAAACGTCTCCCTCTTCCTGTTGCTTTCCATACAACAGGGCATTAAAAATACTGGAAGCATCAAAATAGTCTACAGGACGAAACCTTGAACGCAGTGCCTTTATCCTCTTAGAAACGCTCTTAGAAGTGATCTCCTGGAGATAACTGCCTGAAAAAGGAAGGGAATGAAGTTACCTCTTTTCAAGTTTCCTTTTTATCTTCTTCCAAGATCTCATTAGCAGAAAGAACACTTTAGCCTAGTTTTGGAAATTGTATGTTGTAACTTTTTGTGTAGAGTATCTTGTTTCCTGTTAGCCATTTGTAATTCCAGGTTTTACCGTATGATAAACTGTACCTGCATTTACAGTAGGAACTTAGGAAAGTTCTGTAACAATAGGTTTGCATAACTGTTGTTGGTTCTGTTTTAACTTCTCAGGGTAGATGCTGACACCTAGTAAATACACCTGCTATTCCATCTAGGGCCCTAGGTGGCCATAAGGTTAGTCCCCTCCCCACCAATACTCTTGCAATTTCTAGATATTTGAAGATTTGTTCTCATGCGAAAATTTAGTGACCCCTTGCGCCACACCCCCAAGGTTTTTTTAAGATGTTCATACCTATTCTGAACTAAGACTGCCACAGGAACACAGGAAAGGACTGTATGTCATGGTAGGCAATCACTATTAGAAGAGTAGACTGCTGATGAATTGTTAGTTCAAAGTAATGACTGCTGTCACTATGATTTGTGACAGTACAGCTTGGTCTTTGCTCTGGTTACTAAAGTATATCGTAAAAGTTCGTTCTGTTTCTGTTTTTTTAATAACAAATGTCGCGCCGAGTTTGCGATTGAAAGTTTCCTCATCGCTTGGTGAGACGCTCCTCTAATTCAATCTTTGTCTTTTGTCTTTGCTGCCTTGCAGGGTTGGTACAGTAGGCTTCACTAGACTTAGCTGCAACTCAGAATTTCTCCTCCAGCACCTGAGTAAATGCTGATGGTCTTGTGGAGAGTGGATTAAGAGTACGAGCTAAGTTCTCAATCCCAATTAAGAAGCGGAGGAAAATTTAAACTGTCTCCTTCAAAGTTTATCACAACCACCACCATCAAGACAGCAAACCAAAGGACAAAGACTTTGAACTGCTGTGTTGCTCTGTGTAGTCCAGTTCACGTGTGGTTTACAGACCTGGCTGGGGTTGCTAATAAGTACATAAGAATCTGGACACTTCTGTCATTTGGACACTTAATCACAAGTTACCAGAATGAGGGCTGTACTGGAGCCAGCAGACATTGCCATAGTGGCCCTGTACTTCATCCTGGTCCTGTGCATTGGTTTTTTTGCCATGTGGAAATCTAATAGAAGCACCGTGAGTGGATACTTCCTGGCGGGGCGCTCTATGACTTGGGTAGCAATTGGTGCCTCTCTGTTTGTGAGCAATATTGGGAGTGAACACTTCATTGGGCTGGCAGGCTCTGGAGCTGCGAGTGGATTTGCAGTGGGCGCATGGGAATTCAATGCCTTACTGCTTTTGCAACTTTTGGGATGGGTTTTCATCCCGATATACATCCGGTCGGGGGTATACACCATGCCTGAATACTTGTCCAAGCGATTTGGTGGCCATAGGATTCAGGTCTATTTTGCAGCCTTGTCTCTGATTCTCTATATCTTCACTAAGCTCTCAGTGGATCTGTATTCGGGTGCCCTCTTTATCCAGGAGTCCTTGGGTTGGAATCTTTATGTATCTGTCATCTTGCTCATTGGCATGACTGCTCTGCTGACTGTCACTGGAGGCCTTGTTGCAGTGATCTACACAGATACTCTACAAGCTCTGCTCATGATCATTGGGGCCCTCACACTTACAGTTATTAGCATGATGGAGATTGGAGGGTTTGAGGAAGTTAAGAGAAGGTACATGTCTGCCTCACCCAATGTTTCTCTCATTTTGTTGACACACAACCTTTCCAATACGAATTCTTGTAACGTGAATCCTAAGAAAGACTCCCTAAAAATGCTGCGAGATCCAACAGATGAAGATGTTCCCTGGCCTGGATTCATTCTTGGGCAAACTCCGGCTTCGGTATGGTACTGGTGTGCTGACCAAGTCATCGTGCAGAGAGTCCTAGCAGCCAAAAACATTGCTCATGCCAAAGGCTCTACTCTTATGGCTGGCTTCTTAAAGCTTCTACCAATGTTCATCATAGTTGTACCAGGAATGATTTCCAGAATACTGTTTGTTAATGACATAGCTTGCATCAACCCAGAGCACTGCATGCAAGTGTGTGGAAGCAGAGCTGGGTGTTCCAATATTGCCTACCCCCGCCTGGTGATGAAGCTGGTTCCTGTGGGTCTTCGAGGCTTGATGATGGCAGTGATGATTGCAGCTCTGATGAGTGACTTGGACTCCATCTTTAACAGTGCCAGTACCATATTCACCCTTGATGTATACAAACTCATCCGTAAGAGTGCAAGCTCCCGAGAACTAATGATTGTTGGCAGGATATTTGTGGCTTTTATGGTTGTGATCAGCATAGCATGGGTGCCCATCATTGTGGAGATGCAAGGAGGCCAGATGTACCTTTACATCCAGGAGGTCGCAGATTATCTGACACCTCCAGTGGCGGCCCTCTTCCTTCTGGCAATTTTCTGGAAACGCTGCAATGAGCAAGGAGCATTCTATGGTGGAATGGCAGGCTTTATTCTTGGAGCTGTACGTTTGATACTGGCTTTTACCTACCGTGCCCCAGAGTGTGACCAACCTGATAACAGGCCAGGCTTCATCAAAGACATCCATTACATGTATGTGGCCACAGCGTTGTTTTGGATCACAGGACTCATTACTGTAATTGTTAGCCTTCTCACGCCACCTCCTACTAAGGATCAGATTCGCACCACCACCTTTTGGTCTAAGAAGACCCTGGTGACAAAGGAGAGCTGCTCTCAGAAAGATGAACCGTACAAAATGCAGGAAAAGAGCATTCTGCGATGCAGAGAGAATAGTGAGGCCACAAACCATGTCATTCCAAACGGGAAGTCTGAAGACAGCATCAAGGGCCTTCAGCCCGAGGATGTTAATTTGTTGGTGACGTGCAGAGAAGAGGGCAACCCAATAGCTTCCTTGGGTCATTCAGAGGCAGAAACACCAGTAGATGCTTACTCCAATGGCCAAGCAGCTCTCATGGGTGAGAAAGAGAGAGAGAAGGAGACAGAGAATGGAAGCCGATATTGGAAGTTCATAGACTGGTTTTGTGGCTTTAAAAGCAAAAGCCTCAGCAAGAGGAGTCTCAGAGACTTGATGGATGAGGAGGCTGTTTGTTTACAAATGTTAGAAGAGACTCCACAAGTGAAAATAATACTAAATATCGGACTTTTTGCTGTGTGTTCACTTGGAATTTTCATGTTTGTTTATTTCTCCTTATGAACTTAAGGATATGGTGAGACACTTAAGAAAATACTGGTCTTTGAAAACAAAAATGTAACGTTGCATCTCTCAGGCATTGTTTACGCTGAAGGTTTTAGCCAAATTTTACTTAGCAGAAAATTATCTATTTGCAAGACTGTTTCCCAGAGATGGATGAAAGTAAATCTTCAAACAGACTGAATTGTACAAAATGTGTTTTTTAGAGTTTTCCATACCAAAGTAAGGAGAGACCAATTGTTCTCATAGAGCACTTAGAGCAGAACCTATATTAAGGTATCACGAGTAAAGTATATTGTCTGCATTGCCAAGTCTGGGTAGACCTTATACTGAAGTAGAAGATTTGCTCATCTGTAAGGTTTTTATCTCTGTAATCCCTGCTATGATTGAAAAAATGAATTCTTAGAGATTGTCTGGTCAGATATGTACTGAAAGTCTAATATGTTGTGTAGTAATTATTTCAGGACAAGTTCATGTGTTTGGTTTGTTTGTTAGCATGCGTCTATGATTCCGCTTGCCAAAAGAAAGGGATGATGTTTTCCTATAGGTGTTTTTGTACCTGTATGTGGAATGTTGGAGTTTGGGGTGGACTTCATTCCAGTCTCCTCCCTCTTATTATTTTTTTTTTCCTACTTTTACTGAAGTTTAAGTGAACTGTACTCAAGTGACTACCAAGTCTATGTCTATAAAGTTATTTGTCGTAATTGTGTTTTTATTTAGGGGGGAAGTAAATGTTGCTGATGATCCCCACATTTATTGACCAAATTACGGTCAATCAGTATTTTGGAATACAGTTTGAAGATTACCAGCTACCAAGCAATTCTTGATGGACTTAACACTAAATTAACATGAGTCATACTCTACCTATTTTCTAGCTTCTTCCTTGCCATTTTGTAACGGTCTTTGTTACGTAGCCAAATGCCTTCCTGAATGGATCCAGTTGAAAAATCATGTCCAGTATTGTGAAGAGCTGACAACTGCTTTTGTGTGCTGGTTTCTTACTTGGTTAGATCATGATGTGTTGAGCTTGAGCTTTTAGAGGGAAATTCTAATTCTGAGATTATACTTCATTCTTTGTAAGTTCTTTTTCTGATTTTTGTGTTTCTCAAAAGATGTGCTATCTGTATACAGCCTGTCCATCTTTGATGTTATAGTCAGTCAGCATGAATATGTTCCAGTAAAAGCTGACTGTCAGTAACAGAAAGCGGAAGACTGCACTCCTGCCATTGACCAGTGTAGGCTTTCTGTAGGAGGGATGGCGTGTCCAAAAGTTGCCATGAAGAAAGACTTCGGGGCTTGTCAGTGTGCTTGAGGAGGATATCACAGGACTTGTATTACAGACCTTTGTCTTGGTGTGGGTTGGTATCCGGTTGCAGTAACCATGGGTAGCAAATCTTTTTAGAGGCTGTTTCTCCCTAGTGAAGACAGTACAGAGCTGTTAGAGAAGCTCTACAGATGGTGTGGCTCTGTGTCTTCAGCCCCTTTCCTCCACAAAGATGAAGACAGCTCATTGTGTATCTACTTTCTTTAAGCTGAAAACTTTTAAAATTGCATGGTTTTTATTAAGCCTTGTACTTAGGGAAATTATTTTATAGATAATTTTGTAGATTTTGAATAAAAAACTCAGTCCTGATAACTAACTCTTTTTGTAATGCATAAATTTGTTTGTTAATGATGGACTTGATTAGTCCAAAGCTGATTTTAGGGATTATCAGGTAGCATACAGTCTTCCTACCTTCAGGAGGTTTTCCAGTGGACTGAGTCTATAGATGAAAGAGTAATTCATGTATGACTAGCACGTGTTTCTGAAGAACTTAGAGTGCCTTGTACAAATTTCCTCTCAATTTCTACTTTGAGGTTTATAACCTAGGGGCCTAGGGACCACCTTTTCTTAAGTGGAGGTTGAGGCTGTGACAGGTCCAAGGTTACAGAACCTTTTTGGGAAGAACAGAAACCAGTTCTCCAAATCTAGATTCAGCATTGGTCCACATGTGTCTGGATGAATGGGTTGCCCATGGTTTGTGCTATTTTCTTAAAGGAAGAATTCTTCCTCTGAGATAACCTTTTGGCCTTTAGAACGTTATAGGATCTTGGCTTTTCCAAATTTGCATTAAATTGTAGAAATTATTATTATTATTTTTTTAACTCTTGAGTACAGTCCTATGTGACATAGCAAAAATTGACACATTGGCTGAGTGGCCCTTTTTTCCCATCCATTTATGGCATAAGTGAATAACAGGCATTTTTATGAATTTCCTCTTTTTATTTAATGTTGAGTTAGTAGTTTGGAGTGTTGGGGTCCCCTTATCCTCTCATTGCTGTTGTTGTACTTAGTAAGACTCATAAAATACATCATCTTGTGTCTATTGATGTGTAAATAGCAGTAGGTCAAGTTTAGAGTACTAATGTCTATAAATAAGGAATGACTTAGCATATCCATTAGAACTGTTTATTCTTACACATGTAAACATCAATTTATTTAGACTGAAGCCCCTGAAGCTTGTCGTTCTTACTACTTCCCAGTAATGGGCAATGTGCTTGAATGAGTATGTGAGTTGCTGGTGGTAACTTCATTTCAGGGACCAGCCTTCAGTCTGTAAGGTCATTGGAATGATTGTTCCTGGAATGATACATGACTGCTTTAAGCTATCAAAATTTTCATACTTTACATGCATATAAATGAGTTCTAAAAGGTGGCATGGATCTGTAGACATAATGTGTGTGTTTGTGTTTGCTTAAGCTAAGGTTTTGAATTGACTGAGTTTGACATTGACTAAAACAGTGCTTGAAAGTCAGAATGAAGTAGGTGAGGCCATGGGTTTACAAAGATGGAGAGAATATCATTGTCCTCTGTGAACAATACCCCAAGCTCCTACATGTTTGTGTTCTCAGGCAGTTCACGTCTGGATCTGGTGAGAAGGGCTTATGACATTGGCATGAAGGATGTTTTCTGTGGGACTTCAGGTTTCTCTTTGGTTTCACTTGTGTCCTGTCACTCTAAAAATAAGCCACTGAGCCCCTGTTGTCCTCAGCTGTGCTTTCTAGGAAGTGATCACTTTTGTCTAAAGAGAAGCATCAAGCAATAGCACTGATCCTTGGGCTCCAGTTCAGTGGATCTCATCTCCAGGGCTTCCTTTTCACTTGGCTCAAAGGATCCATTATCTTGGACAGAGAGGTTGGCCAGGGTCATGTATCCATAGCTCTTAGAGATGATACCACAAAAAAATTAGCTGAGACCTTTCACTCTGTGAAACGTCCCCCCATTTTAAGAATTGATCAGCAGAATTGTTACTCAGTTCTCTTAAGCATGGAGTTAAGTCTTCTGGGGTCTCTCTGTTCCAAGTGCATGATCTTCCCCTCTCTGGATATTATTCCGTGTAATCTATAGGTGATTCTTCTTTCCACCAAATAAACCAGCTTTATTGTTAGCCACTAAGAGTTAGACCCTTCACATCCCTGCTTGATTGATAGTGTGGCATTGATTGCTTCATTGCCACGTGTTGTATTCCCCGTCTCCTCTTCATCTGAGGTGTCATGACTAAAAAGGGGCCACGTGGGCATCTAGTAGTGACACCTCATCTTGCCCTTGGTTTGTGTGGAAAGATGTACAAGGCCACCCTGTTACATCACGTAACTACGGAGCTCTGCTGGTGCAAAATTTCCTAAAAAGTCAAACCTGTTCTGAGGTGTTGACAACTAGATGATACAGATGTGAACAAATTGGTAAAAATTAACTTAAAAAAATCCGTACAAGCATAGGATCTTATTCATTGAAATCTAGAACTTGAAGCATCTCAGCTATCAGCCAATTTAAACCCCTCTCCGTAGAAGTAGAATACCAGGGAATCCAGCCTGATAACGCCTGTTGTAATGTTAAGCATAAAGAATGAATTCATTAATGCAGTGGAGGCTAAAGTGACTGATAACTTGGTAGTAACACTTTAGGAAAACAATCGTGCTTTTAGGCTTCATTGTTTAGAAATGTCTTACTGTCTAAGCAGATTTCACAAATGGTGTTCTGGTCTTGTCATGTTGCTTCCTAGTTTATTGCCTAGTCTTTAGTTCAGTACTTAACTGATTTCCTGTTTGGCTCTTTGGTCTGTTTATTTCACATACTGTCTTAATGTGTAAAAGGGTTGTTTTGCCCCAGTATTGAGGACTTAAAACCAAATAATGACTCATTGAAATTAGTTAAATATACTGCACTTAATAAAAATGTTAACAAGAACAAATATTTCTAACTCATAAAAGTCCCTTTGAAATGATGGTGTTAGAATGCAAGAGGCACTGGAGTTTGTTGTGATGCCAAAAAGGACTCATTTTTGCCATAAAGGCAAAAGCTTGAAATTAGTTGGTATAAAGAAAAACTTTTGTACTGTTAGGCTGAATTGCATGAGAAGTGTGTTCTGATCACTAGACCTGGTTGGCTTAACCTGGGCCTGAGACCCCTTCTCATTAAGATCACTTCTCTTAATTTGGTAAGCTGCTGTCACACTCCTGTGCTGGAATACTGTAGCTGTCAGCTGCTTCAACTCCTCAGAGCAAAGTGAGCAAAGGGTTCTCTGGCCATGCGAGTCCCTCACTTAGCTGCATGGTGTTTTCATTTCAATTTCTCTCTCTCCAGCGCTGCAAATAAGCTTTACTGCTACTGAAGGAGCTTTTTAAAAGTGTTGTGAAATTGATATCATTTAGGTTTCTTTTTCTGTCTCAACTCCTTTATAAAAGGTAAGATTTAGGTTGTTTGGGTGTAAGCAACTCATTTACTTGGCAGTCAACAGCTGTAACAATTGGCATATACAGCCTTTTACTCAGAAATGAAGGAGAAGGTGTGGTATGTCTGTATCATCACTAATCTTGTGCACTTTATTTTTAGGGGTATATCATCCATGATCTGCAGCTGATCCGATTCCGCTAAGTGTAGGAGTAGTAGCTTTACTGCCCTTAGAAGGCAGAAGGGCACTGTGCTGTAACCTCTACCCCACTTCATCTCATTCCCAGGCATTCTGTGCTGTGTGAACTCTGCCAGTAAGCTACATATTACAGTGATTTTCACAACAGCACACGTTGATACATATATCCACAGCGTAGTTCTATCTTGCTGAATTCACCGTTTCCCCCAGTGCTGCTAGATAAAGGAGTGCTTACACACACACACACACACAAAACCAGCTGAATGTTCAGTGTGTCAGTATACCCTGGACTTCTATACTTAGTCATTAGTAACTTTTGTTGTTGTGAAAATTGGAAATAAATGGGGCTTATTAAAATCTCCAATGCTAGTGTATATGATATTCCACGGTATAATCAGTTTCTGAAATTTTTGTTTGGATTAGTGCCTTCTGGTTGCCGGTATTGACTGTGCTAGTTTGCACCGCCCCTTTCTTAATAGGACGCTTCCTTTGTTACTCTTTGAAAACTTTCATTGTAACTAGTGAAGGAAGGCTAGCAGAAAATACACATTTACACACTTTTATGTGTAGCCTTTAGGCTCAAGAAAACAAGATAGTCCAGTATCTGTGTTGTAGCTTAGTGTTATTTATTTGTCTTTGCTTTATATCCATTATTAAAAATTTTAAGTTAATTGTAATTCTCTGTGTATACTTTAATTTTATCATTTTCCAAGGTAGATTTGATGAGTACATCTGGGAACACATGTAACAGCAGTTTGTATTTCCACAAGAGAGAAAAGGCTATTGGCCCATAGAAAGCACAAAGCTGTTCACATGTGTGTACCTCTACTTATAAAAAGCACAAGGCTAACGCATTCTCACTAACCCGTAAGTGCCGGTCATAAAGCCACCAAGTATTTGTCCCAGAGTTGTTTTGGAGACCATGGTATCAGGAGCCCTAATGAGCTATCTCAGTTCTACATGGATCCTGGGTGATAAAGGATCCAAAGTAGTCTTACTGAATTTGTGCGGCTTTGATGAAAGGAGAGTACTGTGGCTGTATTGGGGTTACTAGGGAAAATGAGGTGTGTGGACACAGTTCCATAATCTGAGACTAAAGAACAGGGACGGCTTAGGTTTTTGGTGGACAGAACAGGCAAGAACTTTCCGCTTTAACCTGCAGAGTCATTGGTTTTTATTTTGGTTGTTTTTTTTTTTTAATACTGTCTAGAGGAAATTTTACTTGTCAACAATGTTCTAAACAAAGAAATTCTGTGCTTTATTTGTGTGTGTGTGTGTGTGTATGTGTGTGTGTGTGTGTGTGTGTGTGTGAGCGATGAACTTACCTTTATTTTATGTGCTTGGCTGTACTTTTAGTAGAGAATTTGATCTCTGTGTTCTGAACATCTAATTCTGAGACAGATTTGCCAAATGAACTGTCGCTGCTCTTCACAGTGGCGCTAGAATCTTTTTTTTAACCTGTCCCATTATGCTCTGCAAGACTAGGTCAGTGAGACTCTGAATGCACGTGCGGAAGATGGAAATGTGTTTCCAGTCAGCGTTGCCCTTTCCTGCTCCTTGCTTTCTTTACCTCCAAGTAGTCCCATGTTTACTAAGAATAAAAATGAATAGTCTGGAGTTTTGTCCATATTTTAAGACACAGCTCTCAGAATAGAGAGCGCTCCTCCTTGCCTTCTTAGGGGGAGACTTAGTAACTTCTAACCAAGATTGCAGACTGGTGGAACTTTTTTTTTAAAAAAGACTTTGCTATGTTAATAACGTTTCAGAAGAGTTCACATGAACACTAAGGGAGAGGTTCCTCCCTCTAGCAAAAAGCTAGGCAGGTGTGTACCCACAACATAAGTTTTTAACATGTAAAATTTACAGGTTTCAGGATGGGCTGTCGGGCTGAGAGGAGAGGGGTGTTAGAAATGGAGGACACTGAAGCAGTTTGAAAAACGTCCTTGGCTTAGCAATATGTGATAATGCAAAGCAGTTACAACGGTCTTAGCCCTACATATTACGTATTCTCTACCTTTTAAAGAATTTATAAGAACTTTATGAAAAGTGCTTTTAAAAATTCCTTTGGCAGAAACATTTTCCATTTTTAATTTCACGGAAAACTGCTTTAATTAGACTAAGTGAAAGGTAGTCCTAGCAATGTAAATATGTATAATTAGAATATTCTCATTTCACTGTGAGATCTCAGACTTTTCTGAGTAGCAAACAGGTCACCAAGTCTTTTGCTCATGGACTTTTCTGTGGGGTTATTAAAATGTAAAAGCTTTATTTTTTTTTTAATATGACATACTACATTAGGGTCAGATAATGGTATAGAACCTGTTCTCTGCTTTCCCTAGGCATTATTGCTTCAGTCTATAGATTGCCTTCAGAGTTCAGAAGAAGAGCAAGGATTCACCTGTTCTTTGCTGGGGACACCTTGTTTCTCTGCCTAGAGCTGTGTTGGCAATCATCATATGAACTGTTAGGCTTCTCAATGCTTTTTTTTTTTTTTGACAAGATGGATATCAGAAATAGTTGCTGTGCAAAAGTTAGTAGTCTTCTTCAAGAAGAAAACCAATTCCTTTTCTTATAGCCTGTGAAATTGCTTCATTCATTCCTTTATTTTTAAGCCAAATGTCAGCAAAATACTGCTGCTTTTATCTAATAATTTTGATATGTAAGTATTAATGCATTTTTTAAAGATGTCTACATTGAAAACCATTATCCCCAGTGTCCTGCCTGTTATAGCTCTGTTCAGGTTTTCTGTTAAGAGACCATAGTACCGTGGGGCTGTGTATTGTGTGCATGTGTCATTTTAGTTCTGCTTTGTAGGTTATAATGGAGTCGATGAACATTAATTTGTTATTGGTTAGTTTTTTAAAAATTATTTCTAGTTTACCTCCGTTGTCCTCAGCTTTTTTGTGTTAAAGTTTGACTAATCAGGTCCTGTACACCGTGTAATGCTTTAGTTGCAAATGGAAGAACTTGGTGTAAACCAGGTTTCCTACTGAAAGGAAAACAGTTGAAGCTGTAGATGGAAAACTATCTGTTGGTGACAATTCTAACTTGCCTGTTCTGTATACAACTGGTTTTTAAAATTGTAGATGTGTGTAATCTTGGTTTCGGTGTTAAGTGTTACTGTTTAAAAACGGAAAAGCAGCGATGTGCTGGAGAGCTGTCAGTTTCTATCGCTGACTGTGACGTACTCTGTTCTCGTGAGCTGCGTCACTTTGCCAGCTGCTGCACTAGCCGGCACAAGCATTTGGACACTTAAAATGAACTGCATTTCTTGCAAAGAACATTCCTTTCTGTGGTATTTTGTCCTGTAACTGAAGTGTAGTAATTATTTTATGCAAATGTTAGCACTTCTGTACCAACTTTGAATAAAATGAAAAATTTACATTTCTGTGACTATTTTCAGTGTGAATGTTTGTTCCCCCAATTCACAGTGCTCTACATCTTATTTGAAACTGCACTCTACCTCAGTTCTGCTTTCTTGGCTCATGAGTGGTTTCAGAATTTGCCCTGATGTTATTGTCACTTTTTAACCATTGTGAACACTGACTCGTGGGTATTGGTTAAGCCAGGTGGTGCACGCCTTTAATCCCAGCACTAGGGAGGCAGAGGCAGGTTGATCTATGTGAGACCAGCCTGGTCTACACAATGGGTTCTAGGCCAGCTGGGGCTGCAGGGAGACCCTGTCTGAAAAAGACAAAAAAAAGTGGGGGAGCGGGGAGAACAGAGTTAATGTGTAAAACATGGAATAAACATGGAGAATATTCTTATATTTCCCCTTTTCACATTACAGGAAGGTTAGAAGAATTTAGGAATCATCTTCATCCAGATTCACCAATAGTTAACAATGTTACACTTGTTTTTTGTATATTCTTCTTAGTCTTTTTTAAAAAAATATGTATTGCCTGCATGTAGGTAAGTATACCCGTGTCATGCAATGCCCGCGGAGGACAGAAGAGGCTGTAGAGGCTGTCGGATCCCCTGGAACTAGAGTTACCAACAGTTGTTAGCTGCCATGTGGGTGCTGGGATGGGAACCCCGGTCTTCTGTGAGAACAGCCAGTGTTCTTAACCATTGAGCCATCTCTCCAGCCCCTCTTCTTAGTCTTTTGAGAGAACCATTTGCACACATCATTCCCCCTTCTTAAGTCTTGGAGTGTTTTTTTTTTTTTTTTTTTAAAGATTTATTTTATTTATGTGTGTGCATGCTCTGCCCATGGAGGCCAGAAGAGGGCATCCGATCCCTTGGAGATGGAGTTACAGGTGTTTGAACTGCCCCATGTGGGTGCTGGGATCTGCACTCTGATCCTCTAGTAGAGCAGTACTGCTCTAAACCACTGAACCACCTCTCTAGTCCCTGGGGTGTATTTTTAAGTTAAGGGTAGTTACTTACTAAAATCTAGAAAGTAAGCTGGGCATGTGGTGGTGCATGCCTTTAATCCCAACACTCAGGAGGCACAGGCAGGCAAATCTCTGAGATTGAGGCCAGCCTGTGAGTTCCAGATCAGCTGAGGCTACAGGGAAACTCTTAAAAAACAATCTAGAAAGTAACAACAGTGATTATATTTTAGCCCAAAAGGAGCACAAGCCCAAATTGAGGGGCATTCACAATATGACCAGCTTGTATATACTCCCAAACATTAAAGGGGTAGGGGCAAGGAACTTTTTTTGGATTAAGGAAAACAAGAACAGGAGGCATAGAGCTAAATGGAATACTCAGACCTCCCAGTGATTTAAGTTGCTAAAATGATAAAACTGGAGCCAACAACATTTGAATAGTCTTTGGGTTCTGGGGAGCCAGGCTCCGAGAGCTGATAACATTGACCCACTTATTTCAACTTTAAACTCCATAGAATTAACTAATTTTTTTTTTTCATATTTAACATATTTGACTGAAGCCGGGTATGGTGGCGCATGCCTTTAATCCCAGCAGAGGCAGGTGAATCTTCCTGAGATAGAAACCAGTCTGGTCTACATAGTGAGTTCCAGTCCAGCTGGGGCTGTAGAGAGATCCTGTCTCAAACCCAAAATGAAATGTTTGACTGGATATAGAATTCTAAGATGGAAAGTACTTCTAGAACACAAGGACTAGAAACTAGAAAACTAGAAAATGTGGAAAATTTTGGAAGCTTGAGACTTTTTTTCCCATATGTTCCAAAATTTCATAATTCTGTGCTTTGCTGAAAGTCTCTCTCCCCTTGTGCTGACCTCAGGCTCGGGCTACAGCAGCTCAGTGCTGGGATGGTAATTCTGTTTTCTCTTTATAGCCCCTTTTGTATAGCTCTTAGAACTCTTAGACTGGTACACTTAACTTTATAAGTCATTTAAAGTTTTTGTCTGTCTTTTCCCTCTTCCCAGGGAAGTTTCTACACTTTTATCTTCCAACCTTTCTTTGGAAAAGCAGTTTTTAAATGATTTCCGCTCGGCTCAGGTACGAGAGCTGTTGTGCTGTGGTTGTTCTCCTGTTCTGGTTTCATAGATGCTGCTGCTTAAGACACTGGAGATTTTCCTACTGCGTTATTTACTCCAAGACAGTTTTCTCCTGTTCATGTTGGTCTGTCATGTTTTCTCAGTTGAGTGCAGATCCCTGACTGTCTGTACCTTAGTAAAGTAGACAGACTCTGTCAGGGTGGATCTGTCAGATTCACCTGTTCTTGGTGACCTCGTTCTTAGAGAAAGTCCTGCAATGTCTTTATAATAGACTGGATTCCTCACAGAAAGTTTGAGGTTTAAACTAAAGGGTATGACTTGGGATCTGTATGAGGACCTGGGTTTCATGCCCAGCAACACTCTAGACAGAGATGGGCAGAAAGGCTCTGACTTGTATTCCTAGAGCCAAGTGATAAAAGGGCACAGGGTGTTCACTGCAGTTTTTCTTAGTCTCTTCAGTGTGACCCTCTACTTAGAGCTTGCCTGTGCCTCGTGTTCACAGACTATCCTCTGATACTTCCACTCCAGAGAATAATCCTATACATGGACTCCTTGGGATCCACCTGCCCCTTTGTCTTTCCACGAGTTGTATGTACTTTAGTTTCTGCCTTAATCCCCAGTGTCAAGTGCTTAGATCTCTTTGGAAGCATTTGATTCTCGGTGTGTGGTTGGTTCTTGCCTTTCCCTGCTGTGGCTTTCTTCCACTTCTTTCCAAAGTTTTATTTTCCCTTCCTTTCTCGTGTCCATAATCTTGCAGGGTTTACCTTAAAAAAAAGTTGGACTGGAGAGATGGTTCAGTGGTTAAGAGCACTGGCTGCTCTTGCAGAAGACCCAGGTTCGAATCCCAGCACCCACATGAGAGCTAACAACTGACTGTATCTCCAGTTCCAGGGGATCTGACACCCTCTTCTGTTCTCTGCAGGCATTGTGCGACACAGGTGTACTTACATACATGCAAGCATAAAACTCATACACATAAAATAAAAATAAAAAGTCTTAAACTGTATCAGTGTATCATGTTGAGCACTTTGAATATATAAATTTAGTCACTCATATTGTAGTAAAGCTGAAAAAGTTGTCCTCACCATAGTCTTTGTGGTGTTCCTGGAATCTCTAGATAGTAAAGTTGAACCATCCAGCTATCTGAAAGTCTTATTATCCTGTGAGTTCAGCTTTTGAAGGTTGCAGTTTTGGAACTGTTACTTCTTGCATTCCTTGAAGGATGCTGTCTGCCGAAGCAGAGCCAGGGTGCTCAAATTCTGCTTAGCTCTTTAAATACAGGGTTGCGAAGACTTCATTTATTAAAAATGACTCAGAATCCCACCTCTCAGATCATTTTATTGTGAAACTTGACCTGAACAGTTCATAAAACAATACAGATATAGTGCATGTAATGATTATTATTTTTAGTAAATTATATGTTTATTTTGAACACCAGCTTGGTGAATACTAGCTCACTTGTTGCCCTGTGGGCAAATACAGGGTTAGGTTCCTGTGAGCTCATTTTTGTCATCTGACAATATTTTATCTGTTTCTTTTTAAAAGACATAATTATTGTTTAATGTAGTATGGATTTTTTTAAACATGGAGCTCAAGGTCAAGAGCATTACACTTCAACCCCGAGTGAAGTGCATCTAACATTTTATTCCCAGATGCCCATCACTGCCTGGACTTAGGAATTCTAGATAGCACTTCAGTAATACACCTGGGGGCTTTTAAAAACAGCAGTGTCACCAGCAAAACACATAATTCACAGCAGGTGATTTGTTTTTCATCACTCTTCATCTGTGCACACCTGCAAATAACTTTTAGAGGATTTGGGGGTTACAAATACATCCATTAAATATACAAATTGGCAAATATGGATCCCACAGATAATGAGGATTAACTTTCACTGCAAAGAAAAATGTATGCCATCATTCACAAGAAATAGAGCATTGCCAGCCCCCGCCCAGCAGAGCTCATTCCAGCTCAAAGTGACGGTTTGAGGAGTTCTCTAGATGACCCCCTGTCTCCAGCTTTTCCTCCCAAGTTCTGTCTCTGAAGTGTTATTTTTTCCATCCTATATTTGAAATAAATATACTCAGAAGTTTTACAATTTGGTGTAATGTGCGCTGTTCTCTGGGTCATTGTCTTCATGAGTTTTCCTCTAACAAAATAACGGAGGCAGTAGTTTATGAAGTACAGAAGTATATTTAGCTTATGGAGACTGGGAAGTCCAAGAGCGTGGTGCCAACATCTGCCACTACCACTTTCCACCCCAATCTGGTGAGGGCCTTGCAGTGTCATAACTTAACAGGACATCAGATGGTAACACAGTAAAGGAGCTGGAGAATGAACACTGCTTTTGTGACAAAGCTGCTCCTATGGTAAACCATTAACCATGAACGGATAAATCATCTCCAGTGGACCTACTTGGGCTAGCTTTATCATAAATATGGGAATAGAGTTTCCAGCATGGCATTTGAGGGATGTGCTTGTCCTTAGTATGTGTGTAGCTCAGGATGTGAATTTCAGGTCCATTGCCAGTTCATTTTTTTTTTTTTTTAATGTGGGGTCTGTATTGCAGACTGGCCTTGAACTCAGTCTTTTGTGCCTGCAATTCTGGAATTGTAGACATGGGCCAACACCCTGTGCCCTTTACTGTCTCCATCTTTGTATTTTCTAGACGACTTTGAGATAATGAGGTTCCTTTTCCACATACAGCCTCCAGCTTGATTTTGGCATTGGGCAGACACTGCTGATATTCAGCTTGCAATGAGAAAGGTGCACAGGTACATAGCCTCAGAAGTGGGTGCAGCAGGTGAGGGCTGCTGGCCTTGCACGTAGTCCTCTTCCAACGTGAAATCCCACTGTCATCCTACAGCAGATTCTCTGGATTTCTGCTGTCTGCACATTGGGTTTGCCACCTCAGTTTCTGCAGCCGTTCAGGATCTGGATTTTGTAGCTCTCACGTTCCTTG